AAGGTTTCCCATTCTTGGCTATTAAAGCAGATATTTCTAGGCTGGCTTCAACAGCCGCATCCAATTCTCCAGATTGTTTCTTGAACACATTTTGTTGGCTGATTAGTGATCGTCGTAACGATTCGATTTTCCGTTTGCGTTCCGTACCTTGCAGAAGGAAATCCTTGTGTTGGCTTTCATGATGTCGCTTCAGGTTGAATTCTTTTGGCACTGCTATTGTTCCATTGCACAAAAGGCAAATAATGCTGTTGTTCTGTTGCACAAAACAGTACTTGTTAGTCCACACTTCCACTTCTTGAAACTGATGATTCTCGCGATTGACCTTGCGTTTAATGCCCGGCGCCATACTGTTCACTCTGCAAAACAATGTCTCATTGTGCCGAAAATTCTGAGGCCCGCAACAAATCATGTTTGAGATAAGGCAAGCTAGACTACCACGTGCTTTGTTCTGTATCCACTCTGACCAAAGACTAAAGAGGCAGGGACAGAAGACTATTACGCACACGTGGCCAGGCAGGTCTTAATTCGTTCGACCCCTGTCCGGGCGTCTCCACCATTTCTCAGAATTTGTGAGTCAGATCGTCAACATGCCAGGTGCAGGACACTAATCCATCATAAATGTGGTTACCATTCTTACCTAAATTATATTTATGGCCCGTCAGTTTTACCCCCGTGTTCAGAAATGAATCAAAAGTGATTAACACAGTGCAGTGGAAAATCTGAATATTTTAAATATAATTATTAAAATTGCGATATCTCGTTTCAAATTGGCGCTAGAATCAATTTTTTTTTTTTTTCTGTCCTAAATATATCACAGTTTACGACTGTTAAATTTCAAATAAAATAAAAATTAAAAATAATAATTTAATTTTAAATTTACGAAAAAAAGAATGTAAAAATAAAAGTAAATAAAAAGTTCCAATTAATTTACTACTTAAATAACCTAAATATATCTGTTTTCTTTCAAACAAAAAAAACCGCAGCTTTCTAGCTACACGGAATCATTTTACAACCCTCTTTGTTGACAAGTTTATGGCTTGACGCGGTTTGTAATAATTATTAAATCCAAAATATTTTAATGCAAATGGCTTCCTTTTAGTCGTAATGACTCTATTCCAACTACAGTATTAATTTTCTTGGTCCAACTTAATAATAATAAATTTGATGTGAAAAATTTTTTTTCTATTCTTTGTCTATGGAGAGATATTGTTGTAAATTATTGGTTTTATAGCTTTTTGTACATTCCTTTTTGAACTCTGGTTAGTTTTTTTCTAGTTTGAATGACATTAGGTTGACGAATAAGCGTCTTTTCAGAAAAGATTGATTCAAATTCGACTATACCAATCAGAATCTAGAATGTAAACAAATGCTAAAAAATCGTTATTTTCATGGTTTTTCAGCGCTATTTTCACTTATTTTTGTTATTTGACGCTATTTAGACGAATAGGCAAGTTTTCCGAAGCATAAAATTGAAGATTTCCCGCCAAAATAGAAACTTCCCGATAACATCGGAAATGACGTTCTAACATCATTTTAAAATATTCGATATCTAAAGCAGAAAGTGTTAGCTAAAAATAGACTTATTTATAGAACAATCCCCCATTTCTCACCTCAGGGAAAGTCATAAAACAGTTGGGTGCTAATGATTTTGTGAAAGGGAAAAAGTTCTACACTTAGAAACTTCGAAAGAAGGGATTTGGCATGTACCGTCCGCGGGCCGCATAAACATTGATAGGGGGCCGTATGTGACCCGCGGGCCGCAGGTTGTGCACCCCTGCTTTAACTAATAAAACATCTTTCTAAATGCAATAATTATCCACAAGGTCTCAATTGTAAATGGTTATAGTATAAATTTGAGATTATCTCATAATATCAACCACCCTATTTTAGTGTTTATATCATTTAAAAAAATTAATTTTCATGTATATGTATTATGTGCAAAACCTGATAATGTTTTTGCAAAAATCAGCATTTTATTTATTCCAACCAAAACTTGAAATACCACGATATGTTTAATAGTCAGCAAGTGGTAGTTGTAGTCACAGGAGGTAAAGTGTTCACTCACAGATTCTATACTCGTTTGCAGAGGCAAATCCTGACCAAACTTTTGGGCATGCTGAAAGATATAAGAAGAATACTAGGCCTATCTCTAGCACTAAACAATAGGCAGAAACATTATTTGGTGTGAATAAAAAAGTATGGACTATTATAAAGCACATTATATCTATACATTAAATATGTTATAATGAAAAAGTATTAAAAATTTATGATAATAATTCAAATTTTGTGGGTCCTTGACACTATGCCCCCAGTCTTGGAACTACTACATAGAGATTAATAGAGCTTAAGCTCTATTAATCTCTATGTAGTAGTTCCAAGACTGGATCTACATAGTGATTACATCCATACAAGTGTGGATCCATACAATCCATACAAGTGTGGATCTACATAGATAGAATCCATACAAGTGTGGATCTACATAGAGATTAATAGAGCTTAAGCTCTATTAATCTCTATGTAGATCCACCCCTGTACACAATACATGTATGCTGAGTGGATACTGCAAGCTTCAATACAATCTGGCTGTATTAAATGCTTCAAATGACACAATGCATGTGCACTTGTTTGCTGCAGCAAACCTCCACATGAGCAAGCTATTGAGTTCCCGCAAGCATCACACTGACTTAAAATGTCTAGCCGCTAGCCGTCAACATAAAAGCAAACACAAATGATAAAAGAGTTTACACGTTAGAATAAATAATTATTGGCATATTTGTTCTCATATAGAAAGTATATTGACAGTCAAAACTTTCTCTTAAGCATCCACATGCTAAGCCAGCCCATAGAATTCACCCCTGCTTATTTGAGTCTGATTAAATATATTTTTTTTTATTTGGTTATTTTTTTCTCTCACTATAAACTACAATGATTTTTGAGCTATTTTTATTTTAAGCCAAATAATTTACTTACAAACAAGGAGTACAATTTTGTACAAGTAATAACTTGTAAGTTACTCAATTCACAAAGTGGATAATATGAGTATGTATGACTATTTTCATGGATAAAAATTATAGTCCTAGTTAGACTATAAAAGCCATACTTTACAAAACTATTCCACTGTGTCAACCATGTAATGTTTATTTCTTTAGGCTGTTGAAAAATTTCATAATGAATCTCCAGAGCAATCCAATGCCTCACCAAGAAAATTAAAAGCTTCACAACAGGACACAGGCTATAAAAATTCATGTACAAATGTACTGTACATTCAGTTAATAGTACCTATCTTCAACATATGCTATCATGCACCTGGTACCCCTCACAATTAAAAACAGAAAAATGCATCTTTCTAAATGTTAATACTGGAATATCATGTTTAAAATGACTGTTGTTATTATCATGTATGAAAATTCACCCAGAAGTGATTTATTTTAATATATTATGGATTTTAAATGAAATGTTAATTACTTTATTTGTGTATTTTATACATACTGTATTTATTTTTATTTTAAAAACAGAATAAGTGAAAAACAGAACCTTGAAATAACTGAAAATTTAAAAAATTTATCATCAAGATAAAAATTTTTCTTAGTTTTCATCAATTTTTGTTTTTAATAAGTGTGACCCACATCAGATAACTAGTCTAATCAATAGTAAACATATCTAATGATGAGTGGAACATATTATTTTCCTATGTTCTCCATGTAAATATTTTTCATATTTAGAACACTTTACACTACATTTTTTGTCATTTTTCTTACACAAGATACCTTCCTTGTCTTGAAGTGCATTCTTTTCAAACAGATTCCATATTCTCAGCAGTATGCATTAAATTCTCAAGTTTTATAATGTTCAGAATCTCCATTTGCAGAATGAGTGGAAGATTTTAATCTCTTAATGATGTTTCATCTGACACTTCACCAAAGTTAAACCTAATTTGCAGATGAACCAGAGACTTAAAGTTGGTTTTTGTACCTGGCTGATTTATTGTATGAGTAAATGATGTTGGCATTAATTTCAGTTTTATTGAGTATACCATAAAATACAGCTAGTAGTACCATCAGGAACTGAATATGTTACTCGTGGACTTTCCCTTGTAAAACAGAAGCATCACTGAAATACACTTCAGTAGGTAGATTGAAGTCTGCATCTTTGTCCATGTCATTCCAAACACTTCCATTACACTATATGTCTCTACATAATCCTCTTCACCATCAGTATCTTTAATAGTACATTATCAGTAATAACCTCAATCAATATTTTTAAAATATCATTCTTCTCATTCAGTATATTTGAAATATCTTTTTGAGTTAAGTTACTCATTGTTTCAAAGCTAAATGTGATGATAATAGAGAATCAACATATACGAAAAACATGCATTATTACTATCATGAGTAAATTTCACCCCATTCTTAAATAAACCATAACAAAGTATGCACAAAAAAACTGTTACCATACTAATTCACTACATACTAACTTATAAAACACTCAGAAATGTTCAAATTCAGTATCACATTATTTTACTGTACTTACACCATATTGATTTACCTTCTTATATAACCAATTTTATTTTTATATTGAATAATCAGTAAATATAGTATATTAACAGTCATGTTACTTTCACTTATTCCCAGAAATACAATAAGAGGACTAGCTGAAGAGTTGTAAACATTATTACTCCAAAATTTCTAAATGATCTTTAATATGACATACAGTAAAAAACAAAAAAGTACAGTACCATGTTAAAGTAAAGTCACCTCCAAAATCTGTTTGCTAATTACTCCTTGCTCCATTCCTTCAAGATAAGGAAAGATGAAGCTAGATAGATGAAACTAGTATGTGGAACCTGACACAGGCTTATGAAATATGCCAAAAATGATTGTGTGATTAATAAATGTGTTTGTTGGAAGTGCAAGGATGGTATTGAGAGTTACAAGATAAGTTACACATATAATCTGCACTGTTTGTTATATATATATATATATACATATATATTTCGATACCTTTTTAATACATAATTGCTTCTTATTTGTGCATTCATTTTAATTCTGTGAAAATCTTTTGGTTGTCCATTTATTAATTAAACAACTGGCCAATGTAAAGTTTTACCAAATCTCCACTTAACATATACCATAATGTAACAAGTCCCATCACCACATGTCCCAACAGCAACATGCTGCAAGATTAAAGACAGACCCCTCATAAATCTTCATTATAGTAGCGCCTCCCTATAATTCTGCAACCCCAAAAATACTGCCAGCTCAGCACTTATTTAAATAGACTGCTTTACCATCCCATGCTCTATTAACAGGAGTCCCACTAATGTAAAAAAATAGGGGAGAAAATTGAGAATGTGAGAGCATGTTCTCTTAAGCAAACTGCTCCCTTATGTAATACTCCACATTAAGTATGCAAAAACAGTAGCATAAATTAATTAGGGAGAAGACTACTAAAACATTTGTTAGAATTCTGTCTAAATATAGCCTAAAACTCTGTTATGTATGTTTCGGATCTGAAAGTCTAAAATATCTCATAAAAAGAACTGATACGAAAATAATGTAAAGTGATGCAAACTGTATTTGTTAATATAAAAATAGGTAGAAGTTTACTATGGTAGCACCAATGGCCGCTTCCTCCCGACGGACTCCTCCCGGAGGGGAGCCGCCAGCTGGCCGTCGATTGTTTAACGTCAGGAGTTATTAATTCACTGTAGTTCTTGAAAGCTTTTACCCATTTTTCGTGTGTTCAAGAACTACCGTGAATCAATAATTAGTGACGTTAAACAATCGGCGGCCATTGGGTCTACAATAGTACACTTTTACCATAAAGTAAGTTGCACGTTTTAAAAGTCACTTATTACAACTTAAAATTATGAGTTTTGATTTATTTTAAAATTCATTCCGATAAATTACACGATTTATTACGCGTCAAAAAATATTAAAATCAAAATATCATAATTCTTACGCTATAGAAAACTTCACTGAAAAATGCAAATAAAAAAAATATATGTGCGCGTGTGTTACACGAAATAAACGTTGCACATTTTTGTATTCAAAACCACATGTAATATTACAACAGCGCCACAGAGCGGCCGGCTAGATCTTGCCCCTCGACAAAAACGCTGATTGGTTATTGAATTCCAGTGTTCCCAACTGTGGCGACTTGTCGCCACAATAGCGACTTTTAGAAGAACGTAGCGACGTAGCGGCGACTGCAGACAAATCAGCTAAAACTAGAGACTTTTCAAATTTTTTAATTTATTTTTTGAGAAATTTAAATTGACAGATTTTTCTCTACTTTATAGCGCCCTCTGGCGACGACTAATATTCGTCGGTCCTCTATTTCAAATAAGAGACGCAAACATTGACAAACAGTCGTCGGAAGGCGAAAGCGACTCCGATTGAGGTGTTTTAAAACCTATTATTTTTTCGTTTTTCCATTTTTGTTATATATGCATTATAATTACATATTGTTCATGCTGTTAACAATTCAATTATTTTTGTTAATTGTTTTTGAATACAACTATTACAGAGGGTGCTGCCGAAGTTTTCATCTCTAAAACGTGAACGTCGAACGTCAAGCGCCGCTTACAAGATAGTGGCGCTCGACGTTCGACGTTAACGTTTTAGAGATGAAATTTCGGCCGCAATCTCTCTATTATGTGCACAACTTTTCTTATATTGTATCAATAAACTTGTTTTGTAATAAAGCCTTTCGACGATTTGAAAATTTGTTGTTTATTGAGTAGCGACAAAGTAGCGACTTTTCAAAATATCTGTGGCGAAATCAGCGACTTTTATTTTAAAATGTAGCGATATTTATTTACGAACAGTTGGGAACACTGATTACGATGTACAAGACTGTATTTCTAGATTTTCTACAGTGTGCAGAGCTAGAAATCTGTAAAGGTAACATTTTGTAACAAAAATAAATCTGCCCAGGGATTTTTTAAAATTGCTAAATTGAAAACATGACAACTCCTGAATAAAATCTTAGTCCCGAGGTTATGAAAGGCGTGTAGAAATTCTATGACATTATTTTTTACTTTTTAGTGGTAGCATTTGTGGTATGTAGCTCAGCGGAGGATTAAGCGGTAAACAGCCGCTTAGTGTCCCGAAGCAGCCACCGAGGTCATTAAAATGTACTGAAAAAAAGGGATTGCGAAAACGCAGAAGATATATAGATAATTAAGAAAGACGCTTCGATATAGACATCGAAGTAATAAATGATATAGCTTTGTGGCGAACAAAATTAACGGATGCTATTATTGATCATATTCTTTAAAACAAACTAAAAAGTATTTGGAATATACAGAATTTCAAATCAGTGTATAAAGACAGAGATGAAATGTATTACAAAAGACTTTCTTATGATCATTTTTACAGAAAGAAATCAAATAAAATTATGGAAAAGAGAGATTGGCTGATATTTTCAGAAATAAGCAAAACTGTTTACTGCTACCCTTGCAAACTATTTTCAACATCAAAGTCTAACATCATAACTGGTTTGCAAAACTAGAGATTAATTATAGTTATTTTATCGGATCACAAAGTTTCAAAAAAACACATATCAGCCATGTGTACTACTTATAATAGATTAAAAATACATTTAATCGCGTATTTTTACAAAACAAATTACTGTATACAAACAAGTAATATTTATAGATATTTGCAATTCAGGAATGTAAAGAAATCTTTGAAAGTGTAATTATACACCGTCACAATTTTATCTTAGAGGAATCCAATTTAATTGTGGTCGAACTCAAATTTCTTTAAGTTGTGTCAGAAAACTAGAGACGAGATTTATATACTAATAACTGTTATGTATGTAAATCTCCAGGGGATAACCCACACCGAATTGCCCCTTGACCTACTTAGGCGACCCCGCACCTCTGACCTTTGTCGTGTTCCTTTGTCTCAAGTCAGTCGTGCGTTAGGTGTTGTAACAATTAGACCTGGAGGCATACGTTACGCAGTAGCGTACCGTGGATGTCAGCCGCCCGGGGCGGAAAAAATTTCGGCCCCCTTATTTAGGTATTTCAATTTAAAAGACCAAAATTCAGTTTTGTCACAGAACAAGCAATGGAAAATTCGGTGGTAGCGCAGCGACCTGTTTAAAATACTTCTATTGGATATTAGCGGTGTATATGAACGCGAATGAATCGTACAAGCAAAAAAAAAAAAAGGGTCAACAGGTTTCTCAGGATTTCCTCGGATGAAAAAATTATTAGTTCACCCGGACGGTGAGCCCATTCCTGGACTGTCCGGATGATAACACTATCGTACGCGCGATGCAAGTATAGATTAGGATGTTTCAAATTTTTACAAGATATTATTATTTATTGTGAAATTTTGCCGCCCCTAAAAAGTGCCGCCCGGGGCGGGCCGCCCCTGCCGCCCCCACTACGGTACGCCACTGACGTTACGTTAGAATTACCACATAGTTACGTTTCTGTTATAATAAAGCTAATTATATAAGTTAACAAGTTATCGTTTATTTTACGGACACTACAATAACTCACTAAATAAGGACAACAATAATGTCGAAACGACATAATGCCAGAGGAGGGTTCGAGAACAAACGATGACTCTATTTCTTCATTCCATGTTTTTGTCGCCGGGGATGAAGAAAACATAAATCGTTCATCATTTTATAGGGATGTGTTGCTGAACTTTTTCAAGTCGCAGAAATTGAAGAAAAAAAAATAATGTCAGTTTATTTTTTAATCAAATGCAGAATCCACATGTTAAAGCTTTTTTATTATTTTTTAAATTTATATTGCCTATATTCAATGAGTTTAATGCCTTCTTCCAATCTGAAAAGTCTTTAATATCTCATCTTTACATAGAAAGTGTTTATTTCAAATTATTAGCCTCTAATTTTATCGAAACAAAAGAATTATCGGCCTATGATGATAATATTGAATCTTTTAATGTATATAATCCACATAATCTATTGCATCGAAAAAATTAATGTTGGGAGCAAGAGCAACGATTAATGGTTTATGTAATACTGACAATGGATTATTATTTTTGAAATGTCTAAAGCTTTACCAAAAAGCAACGATTGAAGCGTTTAAAAAACTTCCAATTACAAACCATTTTTTATAAATATTTAGATTTTTTGAATAAAAACAATATTTTTAATGTCAATAAAATATGCAATTTATAACCAATTACTGAAATTATGAAAATTGAGATTAATGTCGACACACTTAAAAATGAATACAAAAAAATTAAATTACTTTAAATAATATATTTAAATAATTAATAATTAAACTTTTTAAAATAAAATAAGAGAGGCTGATAAACAGTTGTGGGAAGATGAAAACGACACCAATTGAGGCCGGTTTTAAAACCTTTTTTTTTTTTCTATTTTCTATTTTTGTTATGTATGTATTATAATTATGTTATTGTGCATGCTGTTAACAATTCAATTATTTATTGTTAATTGTTTTTAACATAACTATTATGTGTAGAGCAAAAGGCGGTATTATGAAACCCCAACTACATTATAGTGAATTGTAAGCAAGGTATCATAACTACACCCACATTTTTTGTGCGAAAAGTACTGGGAACTATTAAACTAAATGTTCCTAATTGGATTTTTTGTTAGTGTAACTACTGTATAAGTATGGTTTTTGAAGGCTTCTGTACAAAAAGTCAGAAAGTAAGCTTAGGGAAAACAGAGTGGTAATATGGAACTTTACTGTATGATTCAAAAAATACTTTAATGTATCCAAAAACAAATAGGAAAGTACAAAGCAAGTTAAATAATTACAGAATCATTTACTCCAATGTATTTTATCGAAAAAATACTTTTGTAATAGAAAAATATGACCTCCATCAACAATATATATTCCAGCAGTTATTTTTCGATATTCTCAGGAAGAATTAGCTTTCTACCTAGTGTCTTTTTCACAAATTGCTCTCGACGAATGTCTGCTCGCAAAGACAGAGTTCGGAGGAGTTGGGTTCCATATTAAAAGCACCAATGGGGATCGTATTTCACGCATCTCCATCTTGTATTATTCTGAAAACTTTAAAAACCAGACTTTAAAAATACATTTTTAAAGTTTAATGTCGACACCAAACATTAAAAATGTAAACATCAGACCAGTGGCGTGCCGTCATTGGAAGCGATGGAAGCGCTGCTTCCCTTGAATAGTATTTTCTAAAATATAAATACATATTGGGCAACTATTTTCATATTTTAACGTATTTTGGATTAATTAAAATTAATATTTTATTATAACCACATTATGTATCATATTACAAATTTCTATACTACACGTGAGAAAAACGATAAGATTGCTATTGTATATTTGAATATCACTGGTGGAGTGGAAGCGCTGTATTGTCGAATACAGAAAGCTTCCTTGGCGAAAATATCTGAATGGTGTAAAGCAGCCAGATTATACGCATTTGCGCATGCGCTTTACAGAGCACCAACCTCACGCGGTTTAGCTGCTGGAAGCTACACACATATAACGCTTCCAATTATTCTATCCAGGACCGGTTCTAGATTGTTAGCCGCCTGCCTGCTAGCTATTTGGCCGACCTCGCCCCATTATGTGA